CTGACTGGAAGAGTAACGGATAAACAGTCAATTAACATATATTTGTATGTTATATGTATTATATACTGTATTCTCATAATACAGTAAGCTAGAGAGAAGAAAATATTATTAAGAAAATCATAAGAGAAAATGTATTTACAGTACTGCATTGTATTAATTGAATAAAAACCACATATAAGTGGACCTGTACTTTTCAAGCCCGTATTGTCCAAGGATCAGCTATTTATTTGAGGGTCTTTTAACTGTCAGTGATGGCTTGTGGGTAAGAAGTGTCTTCCCTCTTCAGGGACTTATCTCAGTGGGCAGCTGCCTGGGCTCCCTATATTTCATACCTCACTTGACCACAGGCAGGTGCAGTGTACTGAGTCTGAAAGCTCACTTTTCATTCATCAGTTTGCATCTCTACCTACCCCTTCTCCCCACCTCCCTCCTTTGTATCCTCCACAAGGGTATTCATTTAACGACACTCTGCAGCCGAGCAGATAAAGCTGGATTTCTCCAAGCTAAAAGCTGCTTCCCTTCCATGGGAACATGTTCTGAGACATTGTACACGGACAAGAAGCATTAGCATCTGATCTGCTTTATCCTGAAGCGCTAGGAGCCCTGGTGCTTTATGCCGGGAATCTCCTCTGTGGGGTAGGCGTAATGATAGGGAGCTTCTCCTCGCTCAGCTTGTCAGAGGATCAGCATGTAAGCTGTGTTTCCAGTGGTGGTGTCTGTGACAAATGCCTCCCCAAAGCCAGGCGGAATCTCTTGACAGATGCAGCCCCTCTCCTCAAGATTTCATTGAGCATGGACCTTTTAGCAACCCTCTAAAACAAACACTTGTTACAGACTTTCTTTGGAAGTACCAAATAATATGTGTGATATTATGCAGATTTGGTCTTTTACCAGTGTCTTGGTTCTGTGACAGTCCAAAAGAAGGAAAACAGAAAATTTTGCTGCTTTCTCTGCTTGCCTGTGAGTTGAGTGAGGAGATTTTTATGTAAGCTAGTTGCAAGGCAGCCAGAGAGACATAGAACAGTTTGTAACCCTGGCTTGGAGCTCCCTGTGGTCACTTAGAAACAGGGGCGGCTTAGATACAGTCCTGTCTCTGCCAAATGGAACGGTTGGATGTAATCTTGCTCCGGCAGGGCCCTCAGAGGATGAAGTATGCTGAACACTCGCAGTCTTCCTCATGAAAATGGATATGCAGACTCACCTAAATTTGAGTTGGCCAAGGCTCTGTTAGGTGTATCCCCGCCTTTGATACTGGAGCTGATACATACTGGTTCTTTGGTTCTCCCTCTTACCAGCACTGTGCCTGCCTCACTAGCTTAAGAATGAATAGGAATCTTGGGCGCCTGGGTGGCTCAGTTGGTCAAGTGACTGCCTTCGGCTCAGGTCATGATCCTGGAGTCCCTGGATCGAGTCCCGCATTGGGCTCTCTGCTCGGCAGGGAGCCTGCTTCTCCCTCTGACCCTCTCCCCTCTCATGTGCTCTCTCTCATTCTCTCTGTCTCAAATAAATAAATAAAATCTTTAAAAAAAAAAAAAAAGAATGAATAGGAATCTTTTAGCCAGTCGTGTTCAGAAGAGCTGAGTTATTGGCATCAGAAAAGAATTTTATTCACAGTCGAGAAAAGCATTAACAGAAAGTACAAACAGAACTGATACAGGTTTGCAAAGGATATGTGCAAATCCTATAGTCAGCATCTCACGGTCAAGATAAACCGAGGTGTAGGCTTTCCATTTTTTGATTTTGTTACATTATAAGATGAGAAAATGTTATGCAAATTGAGGTAGTTTAGAATTTTACATTTAATACATTTGTGCTTTAATTTTTCCATTGAACCAGTTTTCTATTTAAAAAGTTGACACTTTTTAAATCAATTTACAGTACCTTAGGAAGATAAGACCAAAAGCCTAAATCTGAGAAAGACTTTTGTGACAGTGAAGCTCAGGCCACATGCCTTGCCTTCCAACACACTGTTTGCTACCAAATGGCTGTTACATCGGACATCTTCTTAGACTCCCTCTCAGCCTGTCAAATATTTCCATGAGGGGATTCAGCATCTTATTTCACACCCAGTGGAGGAGTTTCCCCATATTGGGACCCATTCGATGTTCCCAAGCAGAAAGGAGACTAGGTATCTTAGGCTGTGTCTTCCAGGTTGAATACACACAGGAGTGATCTCTGTCTTCAGATGAGACATCCCCTGATCCCTCCACTCCTCTCTATATACAAAAGACACACACACACACACACACACACACACACACACATATATATGAAAGCTTCACCATTTAAACCCTGGAGCCATGTGTAAGAACTACCTGCATACCCAGCAGGGAGGAGTCAGTCCCTCATCAGTAAGAACTACCTGCAGTATTTCCCTTCCTACATGCATTAGGACTCCTACTAACAGGTGGATTTTTTTTTCACATTTCTTTAGATTACAGGTGTGCTGACAGCCAATCTTCTGCTTTGCTACCTCTAGCATTCACTGTATCACAATACAGGTACAGAAATTCTCTCTTTAGGTTTTTGTCTACTTCCCTGAATCATCAACATAGCAGAATACCAAACGGTAGAATTTTTTTCATATGTTAGCCTTTTACTAACAATGACAGTTCTACCAACCCAGTGTCAGACTCAAGTTTCTGTATTACCCCAAATTGATGGGCATTCACACACACACACACACACACACACACATATGTTGTTTCATGTAGTTATTTAAGCTTTCATTTTTCAAAACTCTTAACAAGGACAATGCAAATACCAAGTGGATATATGAGCATAGCTCACTCCCTTTAACTGGGGTTACAGTGCAGAAGGGTTGGATGGCTTTTGTACTGGAGCTCCTAGAGAGATAATTTCTCTTGTTCCCTCTTTTGTATGCAGCCTGCTGCCACCAACATGGCCATTTTTTGGAATTTTTAGATGGAATCAAAAGGGAGATTTGCTTAGAATTTCAGGCTGACTTCCCTACATCATCACAGGAGAGGGGTCCAAGTTTAGCTAGTGCTATTTAACTTCACGTTGATTGAGGTAGAATTTAAATGTATCATATGATGGAATCCTATCATAATTAGATTTTAGATTAGTTCATGATTTTAGAGTTCAAAAGTCCAAATTTCACAGGGCATGTCTTTCAGCTGAATGGGCACTTGATTTAATTTTGGGAGGAGTAATACTCTCTATGGGGAATCAAGGATACTGTGAAATTAGTATTGCCAATATTCTTCCTGGATGAGTTAGAAGGGGATGTGCAGTCCTGTGACTGAGGTGGGCTGTGCCATTCTGTGCTGCGAGTGGTTTTACTCTTCTCAACTGGATTGGGTTGTGCCAGCCGATGCTCGGAATAGCCATGTAATCCTATGCCGGGATGGATTGTGCTAATTTTTTCTGAGGAATGGTGTCTCTTTTTCTAGGACAAATGTAAAATGCAGCAATAGCATGCTTCTTGGGGTAAAAGACATCTTGTAGCTACCATTGTTTCTAGGTAGATGGAGGAGGTAGAGTTTGATTCCAGGAAGGAAAGGTATGGATTGATGATTGATAATTATGGGCATTGTATCACTATAATTTATAAATTTATAAATTTAACAACTAATAGTTGGCTTGAGGATTTGTGAAAAGTGCTATCACACTACGTTATCATTCATTGCCCATTGAATCCCTTGATTTGTTTCCAGTTAAATTATTTTTCAGTGACACAGGTGGTTTATATTTCTATAGCCTTCTCAGAATTTACCCTGGGGTCATCAGAGATCACATCATAGTTACTCATTATTCTTCCAACAAATACTGGTTGAACATTTGTAACATATAACGCACTATACTTGGAGATGTGGAGATACAAATAAAAATACATCATGATCTGGATCCTAAAGCATGTGAGTTCTATTAGGACTTTAGTTAAATGCAATATAAGTCTGTAATTAAAAATCCATCTGTCACCCTGAAATCTTGACTTTGCAACCCATTAGTTGTAGGATCTTGGGCAAGTTTCTTAACATATTTAAGCCCTTATGATTTTTTTTAATTATAAAAGGAGATGATAATAGTGTCTACTCAATAAAAATAGGTTAGGTAGAGAACTGCATGAAATAACTTTTGTACAGAATTTAGAGGAGGTGTTGCAAAGGGTGGGAAATCATTAATAATAATCCCAATGTTATAACCCCTTGTTACAATACAGAGAATATGTATTCTTTTCTCATTTAATTTTTAAAAATGGCATGCATGTTGAATCATGAATGTAAAGAATAAGAGTTTCTTGAGGATAGACATACCACCTTGATTGTTTTTAAATCTTTAACATTCTGCCTTCAGAGTATGTGGCTCTTAAATGCTTGTTGATTTTGTAGACTGATTGACAGATTAAATGAGGAATTCTTCCAATAAGTTTGGGTAACATTTCCAAAGAAGCTGAAGATTGTAAAAACTGAGACAGTGATAAGTTCAATGCCTTCAGAACCTAAAATTGTATTAGAAGTCTACATATTTGCTCTGTGACCTGAGGCAAACACCTAAGCATCTTTACACATTAACCTTCCTCATCTGTAAAATGGGATTAATAGTTTTGTTTCAAAATGTTGTTTTTAAGGCTAAGTATAACTATATGAAAGTTTTAACACTGTGCAGAACATATGCTAAAATTGTAATACTTTGTTATTCTAACTATGCATCTGGCATGATCCATCAACATATTGAGGAGTAAATCACACACATAAACATGACTTCAGCATCTTGAGTGCTGGCTGTCATGTAAACTGAGAAGGATATGGAGGTGGAGTTGGGCAAATTGACCCATGGGGACAGATGATGAAATATGATAGAAGTTCTTTTGTTACCCTGAAATTTTTTAAGAGTGATGAGAATGTCATTATTTCTGGCTTGATGTGTGCACTCTTACCTAGTGTCAGATAACAGAACAGTTGTTAGCATCTGTTGATTCTTTTCTTTTGCAGCAGGCACTATGCTAAGCCCTTTACAAAGGTTACATCATTTGAGCCATATGGCTGCCTTGAGTTAGATACTGTTATTATCCTCATTTTACACAGGCTTAGAAAATTTGGGCATTCTGCCCAGTGTCTCAACTAATTAAGTCCAATGCCTAGGACTTGAAATCAGATTGAATCTGACCCTGGGGCCTGTCATCCTCACCACTACTCTGCACCGTATTCACCAGAACAGAAGCAACAGTCCTGATTTTTGTTCTCAAGGTATTTGACCCCTTAATGTACCCTGTGTTTAATTTGTGAAATTCAGAAAAATTCTAGCCAAGTTTAAGAAGCAAAGAATTCTAGCTTTCTTTATTAAACTTCTAAGCATTTAGTTTAAAAAATAATAAACATAGGGCTTGAGACTTATTATTAAGAGGCCATAATTGGTTAATTTAAACTTATAATCCCTTGGCTCTATGTACCATGTTGATGGGTGATGACCTAGTAAAGAGAATATTCAGGTAGTTTGTTATTCATGCTTTTTAGGAACCAGCATATAGTCATCTCTTTCTCTTTCAGACCCGCAGTTACCAATAGCCTGAATTTGAAAGATACACATATTTTTTTATGGATATGAGTAAGGAGCACACACACACAAAAAAAACCAGGTGAATAAAAGCAAAATATGCCCATATCTCTGAAAGAAGTTTTTCTACAAAACAGTCTCAAATGCCACTATAACTTTGACCTTCTCAATAGCAACCACTTATATTGTAGACAGAAGACAAGGTTTGTGGAGTTATTGTAAGCCTTTTATGCAGAGCTGAAAAGCACACACACACCAAAAAATCAGCCAGGGTTTTAAAAATAGCTCTTATAAAATCTACCCTGTAACACTTCTGCCAAGTGATTTTTAATAAATTATTATTCATAGCATAGACTTTCAAGGAGCAATTATGTGTTGCCCTCCTTCACAAGTTAAAGTAGGAATTAGAAAAGACAGGAAGGTATTCTGCATTTTTCCTGTGAGAAAGATGCTCACAATTGTTCTTATGTGTGTCATTTGGCCTATGTTGTGTTATTTAATAAACTAAACATGTTAATATTTCTTAGAAATTGTGTGTAAATGTTTGGATGTTTGATCAGTGTCCTAATATAATCAATATATGAAAAGATATGAAGTTAAGTACAAACTTGAAGCAATTTTACTCCTAGCATTTTGTTTAGCCATGTTCTTTTGAATCTTTCAATATTTTGGACAGATCCCATGGGTTTCCTGTCATGTTTGGTTATGGAAAATTCCAGCTGTGTTTAATCCAAGTAAAAACGTAATGCCTCTTCAAGTGAAAGCCTTCCTCTTTCTTGGCTCAGGGACTTGCTCTGAGGACAAGACTGGTCAGTCTTTTATTCATCCTCTACCTTAAATTTAAGTCCTCGTTTCAGTGCTAACTAAATGGTTCAGCATTATGTGTATTTATGACAAACATATTTGGGTTTGGTGCTAGAGACAGAGACATGGATCTGACCTGTCCTTTATTCTCAAAACAATCACAGTGTGATGGAAAAAAAAAAAAAAAGACGTTAAAACAATTCCATTATAATACTGTGTGATGTGAGCAACAGGGAAGAATAAATAAAAGTAAAACAATAATAAATGGCGTGCCTGGGTGGCTCAGTAGGTTAAGCATCCGACTCTTGATTTTGGCCTGGGGTAATGATCTCAGGGTTGTGGGATTGAGCCCCACGTTGGGCTTCGCACTCAGCATGGAGTCTGCTTGGGACTCTCTCCCCCCCTCTTCATCTGCCCCTCCTCCCACTTGGGCTCTGTCTCTCTCAAATAAATAAATGGATAAAATCTTTAAAAAAAAGTAAAACAATAATGGACATAGAAGGCAGTTCTTCCCACAGTGGATTTCAGGGAAGAGTTTGTAGAGAGCTGTGTCTTGAAATGGACTCAGAGGGTCAGGTAGAGGACAGGCATCCTGGGAAGCAGTGATGGCATGCACACAGGCAAAAAGGAGCAAAATAGTCTGATTTTTCAGAGAACAAGTAGATACTATGTAAAATAAATGATGGCCAAACTGTTATTAGAGTATAAACTAAAAACAGGTATTCAGTGCTTGGGACCCAATCTCTAATGTGAATATTCCATTACTCTGGTTTCTCTTGGCAGCGCAGTGAACACAGCTGAATCTCACGTGTCATTGTATTTAGTATGAGATCTTTGGGAAATTCAGAAAGAAAGGCCCATAGCATAGGAGTTCTTAAAGGAGACTTGAAAAATTTATTGAGGTGAACATATATCCACACACTCATTCTTGTGCTGTTTATTGTTGCTAACTAAGTGCAATTCCCTATACATGTGGGAATTCCAAGATTATGACACAGTCACTCCTGTCAAGAAAATTCAGACATGTGGAGGCTATAAAAAGTGTGGGAACTTCTGTTAAGAAAGGGGTAGCATGCATGGATTTCAGAGTAGGGGATCATCATTCCCAAGTAAGAGGTCAGGTGGATGGCTTCCTTTATGCTTTAGTACACAGCACTTGACAGAAGTCTCACAAAGTAAGCATAATGTCAATAGGTTAGGGTGGGAGCTTAAACAAAAACTTAGAGGTGAGACAGTCCAGGCACACCTGGGCAACAGTGAGAAATCTGGCCCATGTAGGCAATTAGGGGGAATGAAAATGGGAATTACGTTTTGCCTGGAGAATAGATGACCCTGAATTTCATTTTCATTGGGTGGGAATCAGTGGAGAATCGCTGACTGTCTTCTGAATATAAAAATAATAGGAACAGAGCATGTGTCAGGATACTTACTATAGTGACAGTAAGTGATGGATGGATTGCAAAAGGAGCTACATAGGAGCATTTGAAAGCAATAGCCACAGTGCAGGTGAGAAGCTCTGAAGGGTGCCAGAAAACCACATGAATAAAATAGAAAGAATCTGGGAAGTATTATGTGGTGGGGGGTGGTGGGAAAAGATGACACTAAGAGAAATCAGGGGGGAGAACTGGTTGTGAGTTATGGAAGAGGGGAGAGCTGCCTACCTGAAGCTCTGTCCTACAACCACGTGTAAGCACTGCCTGTGCTGTGGCCCAGAGATCCACATCGCATAGCTTCCTCGTATGAGTTGACAATTATAAGAACAAACTCCTTGGAACTACCTGGTGACCAATCAGTCCCATAGAGAGTGTACTATTTAAAAAAACAATAATTCAGAAAGATAAGACCTCAAATAACTATTGTTGCCTCTGGACGGGTGTGCTCCAGGTTTGAACTGCATGAGCAGATTCAGACGCAAAGGTTCTGGCGTTCACAAACTGCATGTGGTATGTTCTGTAAGAAGTTTGAGGATGAGGAGTTTTGCTTTACCCCAGATGTTAACTCCTCAACCAAAGGAATGTTTATCCCAGATTAGTCATTCCTCATTCTATTGACAGAAAATTCTGTCTCTTTACAGGGAGAAAAGAGTTACTGTCATCTTCACACATCAGATTTAATCATAAGAAAGTACTATCATGGAGATCAAAAATAGTCAAATATCGCAATGGTTTGACCTCTACAGGCCCAGTAAGAGTGATGTAATGGAAAGAACATTGAGTAAAGTACAGAGAGAATCTGAGTTCTGGTTCTGATTCTCCCATTTATTAGATATATGATCACTATCAGTCAGTTCATTTTCAAAGCTTGGAACAAGTAAAGGACCATAAAATTGTAGTGCCAGGAGGGATACCTATGAAAGAAGCTTATTTTATCAGAACAGGCAGCCATTATTAATTATAATGTCACTCATTCAGTATCAACTATAAGAGCTGTAGATTGTACTGGTAAAGGATAGAAATTCTAAGGCCAGATTACTTTGGTTTGGATCCTGGCGCTCTCACTTATTATATCTGTGAATCGGGCAGTTAATCTCTTTACGTTATAGTTTCCTTACTGGCAAAATGAGGATTATACGAGTACCTCCTTATTGGGTTGTAGTGTGAATTAAAACAGTTAACATATATAAAGTTCATAGGATAGTGTCTACTACATTATAAACACTTTACTCATAGTTGCTGCTTTGAACACTATTATAAGGAAGTTCTTTGCTAGAAGATTCTTGCTGCCTTCACTTTTCATTCAGCTTTTTTTTTTCTTCTTTTTCTTTTTCTTTTTTTCCATTCAGCTTTAATGGACTGGTGCTAAACTGTCAGTGGTCCACTTTGAAGCCATGTTCAAATCCCTGGGGTTAGGGATCAATAGTGACAGCAGCTAATTGTGGTGCTCGAACATGGGGAATCTTAATTGAAAATAAATCAATAGTATCAAGGAATGGGATAAAAGCCCAATTGGAGAAGTTTACAATGGAAAATAACAAGGGCTAAATTACCCTTTAAAACTTTCGATCAAATCATCAGCTGGTAGAGAACAGAGTGTTTTATTACAGAAAAGTAACCAAGCAACTACTGTGCAGAAAGGCAGCCATGTTGCAGGAGTTGCTGTCGGTGTTGGAAGCACTTAGCTAACATTAAGCCTAATTAGTGACAGGATATACCCTCCATCCACTCTAGCCGAGGGGAAGTGAAAAGCAGCTATTGAATTCTGAGAATACAGGATTAAGGGAGAAATCAGTTTCAAGGTCAACTGCCAGCAATGAAGTTCAGTTTTGCTTCTCAGTCCTTTGCCTTTTATTTGCTGCCTGCCCTTTTTCTCTGCCCTTAGCCCACAGAGTAACTTCCAGCTCTCCTAGCCACAAATGCTCTCCAGATTGCTGCAAAATAAATATTGCTCATGATTTTTGGTGTAAAGCAGACAATAAGGACAACATTAAATATAGGTTTTCTCTCCACAAAGAAAGTTTGCACAAAAAGCGTTGGGCATGATATCACAAATATGAAAAACAAATTGTATTCTAAATTTTTGAAGATCAGATTTCTTAATGTAAGACTATGTTTGAGTAAGTTATTTGCTTACTCAAATAACTCTTGTCATTTAGGTTTCTGCCACTGGCTGTAGGTAGCATCAAGGTCAACAATCAATAAACTCATTAGGACTTACAAGCATCTTTGATTAATATTCCTTGTCTAATTTCCTGAGAAATGTACTATATCATCTGCTTAATGAAGACAAGGCTGAGTTATTTAGGTGTTTGTTAGTGAGGCTTATTTGCATATAATTAACTAGATTCTCTGTGTTTATAGCAAGCAGTAAAAACTTTGTACCAATGGATGTACTTTCTACTGAGTTTTATATGATTAACCAAATGTTTTTGTTCCACTAGAAATTCTTTGAT